CACTGTGGGAGTAAAGGTCTCCCCTTCTTGCAGCATGCCCAGTCTCTGGATGAAGTCTCTTCATCCCCTCCCCCAACGTACAGCAGCACTCCCCATTAAGCCAGGAACCTAGGGGCTCGAAGGAGTCTCTTCCTCGGTCCTCTTGCCAGCTTGGGGATAGGGTGGGGCCGGGCGTGGGGTAGGGAGGTGGTTGGGGGAGCAGTCAGTTGTCCATCTCTTAGTAATCCCAGGATGGGGTGCAAACCCCTTTGTTTGCAGCTGTCTTTAGAAAATGGGTCCTTTCTGCTCCCAGTTTGGGAGGTCACGCCTGGTGGGGATTGAGCCCTGTTGATCTTTGGGCACCTTAGTGAGAACTGTTTCATCTGCATGTCGACCCCAGAAGCCAGCGGGGTTGAAGAAGGGTGTGGGCACAATGAAAGTGGGAGGTGAGGGAATGGCAGCACAACTCCTTTAAGAAGTTAAGCTGTGATAGGGAGGAAAGGAAGGCATGGCAGCTGGTGGAGAAGGTGGTTTGAGTGGGGATTTTTTTTTTTCTTTTTAATTGGAGGAGCTCTTGTAATCAGCCACCAGAAGGTCTTAAGTGCCCTTTAGACTTAGAGAAAGTGTTTTCAGTTGGGTGGAGAGAAGCAGCACACGATTGCCGGGGGAACGGAGAAACAAAGCAGTGAATGGTGACTTAGTGACTCCAGTGGGCAATGGCGCTTTCCTGGAAGTATACCGCTGGAGAGCACCTTAGAGGTTGGAAGAATGTGGGGTCGTACTTGTGGGACCCTTCTTGTTCTGTGATGGCCGGGAGAAGAAAATATCTTTCCCTTTGTAAAAGGGAATTGGCATAGTTTTTTTTTTTTTTAATTAACTGCATTTATTGGCTCCAGTAAACTCTTAGCATGTACTCTGGGTTGTCCCGCTGTATTGAATGCTTAGCGTTTGGAAGGAAAGAAGCTGCAGCATGCCTGAAATTAATCAGCTGCATCTTTTACGTTGATGGAAGCAATGTCGACTTCTCTGGAATGACATCAGTTTCCACAAAGGCAAGAGCCCTATCTGTGATCTCAGCCTGGGCAACTGCAGGGAGGGACATGTTTCCTTTTAAGTTGTTGGAGTGCTTCACTGAGCTATGGGGCCGGAAGGCGCTGTCACGTTTAATGAAATGTGAGCATTTCTGATATTGGCGTTTTATGATGACTGTGGGAAAACTCAGTGGGCTCAGTCCTTCTGCATCTTACAGAAACCAAAGGGAAGACTTTCAGGAAACAGTAATCACAACTCACTTAAGAAATAGCCTCAGAAGAATATTGGCTGGAATTCTTAATGTGATGCTACAAAAGGAAAAGGAAAAAAGTGACCAATCTAGGAAAAGAGATTACAGAAGAAACCAGCGCTTTGATTTTAGATAACAGGATGGCTTGTTTAAATTTAGCTTAGTTAAGTTTTGGCAAGAAAGTAGAATTGACTAGTGATGTTCGGTTTGATTCTTGCTGACTGAGGCATATTTCATTTTACCCAGAACTGTAGCCAGCCCTACCCCTTTTATGAAAGGTATACTCTAATTGCTTTGTACCTACCTCCCTGCCCTCTTCTAAGTTCCTCAGGTTGGGGAATCGGTTTAAGTAATAACAGGATGCTCTCGTGACTTTTCAAAGAAAACCTGGAGACATCCCTCTTACATGTTGTCTGAAAGATAAAATTTGTCAGTGTTTTTTTTTTTTTAAACAATTGCTCCTACGCTTATGCATGTAAAAAACAGGAAAGTATTCACCTGTGTTTTCGTCTTACTTTCTGTATTGTTTATATTTAGCTATTTAATCCATTTCAAATACATATTTCAAATAAGAATCTAACTTAAAAAAAAAATGGCAGGAATTCCTTGGTGGTCCAGTGGTTAAGTCTCGGTGCTTTCACTGCCGTGGGCCTGGTTTCAATCCGTGGTTGGGGAACTAAGGTCCCACAAGCCTCATGGCGCTGCCAAAAAAAGAAAAGCAATTTATTCAATAAAGGTCATCACTTTCCCTTTTTATTCTAAAGTCCATGTGTGAGTGCATCAGAGCCATTACTTTTGTCCTTGGGAGACTGTTTTGATATCCTGTCAGGACCAGAAGTGCAGTGTGGCGGTGATGCCATGGGTACTTCTTAGGCAAACAGAAAAAGGCAGTGAGCCTCAGGCATGGCCCTAAAGCTGTTTGAGAAGCTCTCTGGAGTTAATACACTCATCAGAAGATAAATTCCTTTGCATAAGCAAACAGATTCTGCCTAGAGAATGTTCAGTATAGTGCAGATTCAATCCTGTACAAATGCTAATGTGTCCATGAAACAGCACAGCTGTGCCCTTTTGAAGCGTGATTTTGTTCTGGTGCGAGAGAAGGTAGAATGGGCCAGCTGCTCACTTCTGTAGTGTCTTTTGTTCTTCTTCTGGAGGTTGATCCTGGGATCCCACAATGGTCTGGAGGGTCTTTGAATTGTCAGAGGGCAGCACATTTCAGTGATGTGTGAATTAATGGTTCACTGAATTCTGAAATAAGCAAAACGGTTTTTAGCTTTCCCTTAGTGACAACCTGTACCTACCTGACCCATTCGTAAAACCAGCCCCACAGCAGAACAGAAGCTTCATGAATCACAGGGTAGTTTTTCTCCACCTCTATTCTGAGCACCCTGAAGTTCACCACCACTTTTGCTATAGTTAACGGTGCTGATAAAGAAGTCATTTGAAATATGTCTTGGATTGTATGATGTCCAACATGTTCAAAAGAGTCCGCCTTGCATCTTTAAGAAGTCTAGTAGTCAAGGGCTTCCCTGGTGGCGCAGTGGTTGAGAGTCCGCCTGACGATCCAGGGGACACGGGTTCGTGCCCCGGTCCGGGAGGATCCCACGTGCCGCGGAGCGGCTGGGCCCGTGAGCCATGGCCGCTGAGCCTGCGCGTCCGGAGCCCGTGCTCCGCAACGGGAGGGGCCACAACAGTGAGAGGCCTGCATACCACACACACACACAAAAAGAAGAAGTCTAGTAGTCAAAAGCGAGATTCATTTCAGGCTAAAGGTGTCCTCCTGAGAAGGAGAAGGAAGAGTGCTGGGGATGAGCCTCTCTCTTTCCTGTGTCTCCTCAGGACAGTTGAGACCTGTTTAGGCTCTGAGCTGCTCTGGAAGCGGAGATGTTGAGGAAGAATGTGGGCATTTGGTCCTGGGAGTAAGAACCAGGAAGATAATTAGCATCTGTATTCAGTCTAGTAGCTTAGAAACAACTTAAATACATACTTGAAACCATTATGTATATATATATTTTTTCTTTTTTCTTTTTTTTTTGTGGTACGCGGGCCTCTCACTGTTGTGGCCTCTCCCGTTGCGGAGCACAGGCTCTGGACGCGCAGGCTCAGCGGCCATGGCTCACGGGCCCAGCCGCTCCGCGGCATGTGGGATCTTCCCGGACCGGGGCACGAACCCGTGTCCCCTGCATCGGCAGGCGGACTCTCAGCCACTGCGCCACCAGGGAAGCCCTGTGTATATTTTTATGGACAAATATAAAAGGAGGGAAGATAAAACCAATATATATCTATTTTTCAGCACACACAGAGGTGATAACCCAGAGGCCAAATACCTGATTTGTTACATAGGATTTTGAATTTGTTATTGTGTGACTATAACACGGAAGTCAACTTTTGTTTGTCTACGTAGATAATTTTTTAATAGTGGTATAAAAAGTAAATGAGCTGATTAAAAAGCTGCCCCCGCCTGAGGGAGCCTGACCTCTGCATTTCTGCCCCTGATCAGGCACTGCTGATCCCCTCTTAGTGGCAGTGGGAGGAGAGATGTGGCACCTGGGTCGGAGCCACCAAGTCCCCTTGGTCCCTGGCCACTGCACACGCCTCTCCTTTGCAGGGACTGCAGCCTCCCAGCCTTCTTTTTAAAGCTTCCTTTCATTCGACTTGTGGAATATGAAACCAGCAGCTCACGAGCTGTGTGGTGTTCCAGTAACAAAGTGTTTTCAATGAAAAGCGAGGAACTTGTGCGTGAAGAAAGCCGGATCCCAAAGCGGCCCCACGGAGGCAGATCATAGGATGCAGGCAGGGTGCTGAAGAGAAGGTGACTGCAGCCACCGTTGCTCCCGGGCCCCGTCAGCTTCCAGATCCTGTTGAGTCTGTCTCCTCACCATCTCTCACATCACCCTTTCCTTTGTTTCTGGAGGAAAGATACGCACCTTTGTCAGTAATTTGGGCTTCTTCCCTCATAGGGCTGTAGTGAGGTTTAATACTATATGCAAAACACTTAGCTCCGTGCCTGGGGAAACAGTGGGGACGTAGTAGGGGTTAGTTTTGTCCTTCCCCCGACCCCACTTCACCTCTGGAATCAGGGTAACAGGGTTTGAGGCCTGGCCCCTCCCCTACCTGTGTGACTTTAGGCAGCTCACTGTCCCTTTCTGAACCCTTGACAACTTACCTGATGCTGTCTCTCCCTGCGCAGAACCAGTCAGTGATTCTCTTTCCTCTGTCAGAACCAGACTAATCCCCCCCCCCTGCTCGCCCAATGTCCTGGGTCCACCACAGTAGGTCTCAGGCTCCCCTTCCGTCTCATCTCACCATTATTCTCCTTTGGGTCACCGCCAAATGTGTCTAAATGCTGCTTTCTGTCTTTCCCCCATTCCCTGGCTTCCTTTCTTGGCTCATGTGTTCCCTGTGCATGAAGTGCCCACCCTGCCCCCACATCCAAGTCCTGCTTCGCTCAGGTCCATCTCAGATGCGGCCTTCTCCACGCTCAGCATAAGTGTCTCCATCTTGGGCCCATTGTCTTGTTTTTAACAGGCTATATGTCAATTATATCTCCATTTTAAAATAAGGTAATATTTATTCCATTAAAAAAAAAAAGTAGAGCAATGGACTGAGAAAGTTCCTTTTCCTGGTGACAGAGCTGAAACCAGTATCTCTAATCTGACGAACCCAAGGACATAGAGCGTAGGGAAGTGGTCGCCTGAGCATTTGGCACCATTAATTTAAAAAAATGTTTAATGAATACGTTTTATTTCTCAAAAATGTAACATGACTTAGTAACCATCTCCTTTTTTTTTTTTTTTCGACTCGTGAATTTGTTTTTATTTTTATTGGGCTATAGGGGATGGGTTGGGAAATATCTCTGTAAGTTGTGCCCTCCTAGGGAAATGTCCATTCTCATTTTCCTGGGATAGCTTTCGGAGCTTTTTTTTTTTCTTGGAGCTGCAGGTCTTGCTGGCAGCAGCCTCTTCAGGTTCACTGCTGAGAGGCTCCTCCTTGGAAGAGAATTTCCTCTTTTTCTTGGGGACCCTCTTGTTTCCTGACTCTTCAGGGTCACTATCTGGTTCCTCTTTGGGGAAAGGTTTCTTCCTCTTGGTAAGACTTCCACTGCCAGCTGTCTCTTCACGATCACTACTAACCAGCTCCTCCTTGGAAAAAGATTTCTATTTTTTGGGTTTGGAGGAGACAGATGGGGGTCTTCCATTCCATTCTCCTGAGGAGCCTCCTGGGGCTTTTGCTTCTTCGTCTTTTTGGGTCTTTTCATCTGTCTCCTCACATTCCTCCGGGGTCCTACTGCTGTTTTCTGAAGACTCCAGGGCACTCACAGCTAGCCTTTTCTTTTCCTTCTGTAAGCATTTCTTCTCCTGCTTCTCCGGCTTCCTAGTAATCTCAGCAGCCGCTTCCTTTGCCTGAACCATTGCCTCCTTCATGACATCCAGATTCTTTCGTGGAATCTCTCCAGTCTCATAGGACAGCCGCTGCTCAACTTGTTCTCGAAGCTTCTCCCCAAATACACTGGTAGGTACCTCAGAGAAGCAATCAATTTGCTGCATTTGTTTGCCAGGAATTGGGAGATGCGGCCTCTGTTCCTGGCAGCTCCGCAGCCAATGAAGGTAGAGTGGAAAATGAGTCCATATTTTGGGGTGTTACCCCTTGTCTTCAGGGCTCTGGAAAGTTGGTCCCTGTGCTGGGCCCAGGGAATCACTCAGACACCAGGACTGGCCATCACCCCCATAGCAGAGGCCTGTACAGGTCAGGGAGCCCGGGTCAACCATCACCGTGATCCTTTTTTCTTTTAATGCATTTATTTATGCAACCAATTAAGTGGTCTAAGCACTATTCCAGGAGCTGGGATAAAAGCAATGACGAGCTAGACAATACCCCTGCCCTCCCTCGGCTTGCCCTGTGTGGGTGAAGACAGAGAAAACAAGTAAGCAAGCCCTGTAATGCCCATGATGTGATGGAGGAGCCAGGTGGGAGAGCTAGCTCCCTTCGATAGCATGGGCAGGAAGGGCCTCTTGGAGGCGGTAGGTGACCCTGGGTAAGAGAAGGGTGAGTGGGAAGAGGCTTCTGGGGGAGATCTGAGGCTGGACTGTTTCAGGCAGAGGGAAGGGCAAGCGCCAAGGCCCTGAGATGGGAAGGAGCCCCTTGAGGAGTGGAAGGAGGGAAGCCCGTGGGGCTGGAGGGTGTGGAGCAAGGAGCCAAGGGTCCAAAATGATTCTGGAGGACGAGGCGACGGCTGGACGGTGAAGAAGAGCAGGGTCTCTTTTAGATGCGGTGAGAGCCATTGGAGGGTTTTCAGTAGGGGTGTAACAGGTCTGTGTCAGGCTTAGCTAGGAATTTAGTGAAATCGTGATCTCTGAACCTCAGCCATTACCATGCTCTTCTACCGTGAGCTGGAGCTTGGTGACCCAGGCCTGTCCATGCTCCTCAGGGAAGTTTCTTTGACAACCAGCAGCTGTGAAAGCTACTCTGTGTTGAGTAACAGTAGCCCTAACTATCCTTTAATTTCCTTCTGTTTACGTTTGCTTGGTGTGTTGTAAAAGGTGTGATTATACATGTGGACATGAACCTGGAGGCAGTTAAACGATGGTGGAACCTGGCAATAGGCATTTGGAGACCGTGGCTTTGCTCTGGGAAGGCCACCTGGGGTGGTGTTTGTAGCTTTCTCAGGGGGACAAGTAACCATCTTGCCTCGTGAGCTCTCGCTCCTTCACTGTGGAGTCTCTGTAGGTCCAGTTCTTAACCCTCCGTGCTCCTGTCTTTGTGCCGCTCCTCTTGGATGTCGGCCACCCTCAGGACAGGAGGCCTCCTCGATCTAAGTACAGCACTGGTCCCCCACCTTGGGGCTGCCTGGAGGAGAACTCCATCTGGTTCGCTCATGAGAGCTGTTGCATAATGAGTTGGTATAGTCTCCCCTCATATTCTCGGTTGGTACATTCTCAGTTTCTGTCACAGACTGAACCCCTTCCTGGCTTCCCCCATCACAATCACTGTCCAAGACAGCATTTCTCTTCCCCCAGACTCCAACACCTGGAGTGATTTGTAGTCTTTTCCTTCCCTTTGTAGAATCTTAGGATGGAAGAGCCTCGATGATTAAGCCTCACATTACAATACTTTTCAGTTCTTAGAAGATTTCTCAGATCCACTCTTGCTTCCTTCCTACTGCTGCCACTTCTGAGGAAGAACTTTCCAGAATTGTTCATGGCTGTGCTATATCGAGTTTGTTAATTAGAAAATCCAGATTAAAAAAGAAAAGAAAAGAAACCCTTCACGCTCTAAGAGTCGAAATGCATAATTCACTTCCCACCATACATAGCTTCTATCAATATAGATGTTCTGGTGAATAAATGTATCCTTTAAAAAATTGAAAAGAGCCCCTGGTGAATTAATTGAGAAAATTTGCAATATAGAGACATAATTTTAAGTGTACAAAGCTCTGGGTCAGGGAAGGATGCTGCTGAGTGAGATGGGCTGTAAAATCCATGGTCCAAACCAGTACAGATGGGGTATTTATTCAACAGGGCATTTGTTAAGTGGTGGTGGTGTTGCCTTTTTTTTTTTTAATTTATTTATTTTAGTTTTGGCTGCTTTAGGTCTTCATTACTGCCCGCGGGCTTTCTCTGGCTGTGGCGAGCAGAGCGGGGGCTTCTCTTGTTGTGGAGCACGGGCTCTAGGCACGCAGGCTTCAGTAGTTGCAACATGCGGGCTCAGTAGTTGTTGCTCACGGGCTCTAGAGCACAGGCTCAGTAGTTGTGGCACACAGGCTTAGTTGCTCCGCAGCATGTGGGATCTTCCCAGACCAGGGCTCGAACCCGTGTCCCCTGCGTTGGCAGGTGGATTCTTAACCACTGCACCAACAGGGAAGCCCGGTGCCTTTTTAAAAAATTCTTTTCCTAATTTCTGACCTGTGGGGCTTCTGCACCAGGTAGAAGCCAGAAACTTGCCTTCCTTTGTTGTAAGAGTCTCCTCCCCTCTCTTTAGCTTTTACTGAGAATGACATGTGGAGGGAGGGGGCCGTGGAATGCATTCTGGTGATCCTGGCAGCAGTGCCGTCCAGCGTGGAGAGGCAGATATCTGGCTGGCCGTTCCCCTGAGCCCAGTGGTAGGCACGGTAGGGTCCCCATCAGAGCAGTGGTGGTGTGATTTGACAACAGTACCTGTCTGCATAGCCTCCAAGCCTGGCTTTGAGACCCTCTCTCAGAGATTGTGCAAACTGCTGATCCTTCCTTAATCGATTCCTTTCATATTAAAACTAACCAGAGTGGGTTCTGTTACCTGCTTCTAAAGTATCTGATGTAGCTGCTTACCCAGCGATGTTTGGGATGTCTCGCTCGGCAGGGGGAGTACATGATCTTTACTTGGCTTTGCCCATGAGCCGCATCGATTCCACACTCCAGATTTAAATAAAATTGCAGTTATTTTTGCATCCGTACCAGAAGCAGCCTGTGAAATGGAAAGGGCATTGGATCAGATACAGAAGGCCGTGGCTCCAGCCTGCCTTGCTGCTCTCTCGCTGCAGTGATTTTGTGCCCGTCACTTCTCCTGTTGGGGGCCTTAGGTTTCTTCTTTGTAAAATGAGAAAATTATACCTGATCAACTCTAAGGTCCCTTCCAATCTCGGCAGCCTCAGATGAGCAGCTCTGGTGTTTTTCTTATTAGCGAGCCGCTCCTGTTCAGATCTGTGCTCTTTCATACGGCAGCTACTAGCCACCTGTGGCTATTTAAGTTTAAATGGTTTAAAGTCCGACAAGATTACAAACTTTGTTGTTCCTTAGTTGCACTAGCCACATTTTAAGTGCTTATAGCCACGTGTAGCTCTCATCTTGGACAAGGCAGATATAGAACATTTCCATCATCAGGAACATTCTCTTGGCCCACACTGGTCTACATGATAATGCCATGTGTCTGCTCCCTTTGTAGAGGTTCTGGGTGTTCAATTGTATTTCTGCCTGCTTAGTTGAAAGATCAACATGCATCTTATTAGCCGTTCAGCTTGCCCCAAAAGGACCTCCTTATCTACTCTTACCCCCTCTCAACCTCCCCTTTGTCCCATCCCTACTCTCTGCCCATCTTAGGGATGGCTCCCCACCCATATTAACCAATGCAGAAACCTTGGGGTCCGTCTGGAAATGCCCTTCGTCACCACCCTTCACGTCCCCCATTTTGGTCCCTAAGTTCTGTCAGTTCCTCCTGTTAAATATTAACCAAACGTGCCCTGTTTTCCTCATTTGTACTGTGTGCACCATAACCGAGGCCCCTCATCTTCCGTTTCCCTTCTATTGTGAACCTCACCTTTGCTTTCTTCCTCATTCCACCTGTCCCCTCAGTCCAGCCATTGAATCGAAACACAGTTTACAGACAAACCAACAAAAGGCAGTTTTAATCAGCCATTTTCCTCCCTCCACAGCCATGTATTCAACTGCCTTTTCCTGACTTAACTCTTAGCCCCATGAGCAGCCGCATTAACTTCTTTCTGTTCCCTGAACAAGACTCGCTCCTTTATTTTCTTCTTTCTTTCTGTGCGTGTTTGCTTCCCTCTTCCCATATAGGCCTTCTCAGCACTGGGTGCAGAGGTCATGACCTCTCTTGCAGAGCCCTTGCTGGCTCCCCTGGAGGAGTTAGGTGCTCCCCCTGGGGCGCTCTGCCGTCTTGAAGGTCACGCTTGATGGCTTGGGGTTCAGGCTCCGGTGTTGGGCTGCCTGGATTTGAATGCTGGTTGCATCACTGTTGATTCTGTGACCAACTTGACAGCTCTGTGCTCGACTTTCCTCATCTATACAAAGAGTATTAGTAATAATACCCAATTCCCAGGCATTTTTTGAGGATGAGGTGACATTGATATATTTAAAGTGCTTAAAATAGCACTCAGCATGGAGTAAGCACTTAATAATTGTTCATTTTTGTCACCATCATTATACTTCACTTGACTCCTTGTTCATCTGCTGGGGTGATAGCAGACTGAATGGCAACACCAATTTTTTTTTTTTTTTAAAGAGAAATCTAGGATGGTGCTTTCTCTTCGGTTTGATGATTGACATGTAAGCTCCGTGAGCTTGCTTTCTCCTCCATTTTCCTTTGAGCACCTGGCAACAGATGGTGTGTCCACAGGATGGACGTGAACAGGTGGAGCTGGCTGTAGCCCAAACCCAAGCCAGCTCTAGCACTTACTAGCAACGTGACTTGACTAGCAAGTTTTTTCATATCACGGCTGCCGTTTCCCCATTTGTGAGTTAAATCAAGCAAATCAATACCACACGGGTGAGATCAATGATTCTAAATGCAGGGATCCACTCATGTATCGTCAGATCATTTTAGTACCTACTGTGGGCTAGAACACAGTAGGAAGCAAATAGAGACATGGCTCCTGCTCTCATGGGGCTTAGGGTTCGGGAGCAGAGAGCCGTCTGTGGGACATCATACACGTTTGTGGACAAGTATAGTAGCCAGTAGTGCCAAGAAGGAGACACATGGTCCTACAAGTGCGTAGGGCACTTGACCCAGGAGTGGATCGGGAGCTCCCCGGGGGGAAGGCTCCCCAGGAGGCAATGCTGAGGTGGAGGGAAAAGTATCGTCAAAGAGCAGCGTGTATTCCAGGAGGAAGGACAGAAAGGAGGTCCTAGTGGTTGAAGCGCAGTGTGACGGGGGCACAGGGAGGCTGGGAGGTTGTCCTGGACCGGGCCATGCAAGGTCTTGAGTGCTGTTTTTCCTTTTGAACTGTACGCCCTCCTCCTCGCTCTCCTCTGCATTGATTCAAGTCCTTGGATGCTGAGAATGACCACCTTAGCCTCTGTGTGCATCCCTG